GAAAACAGCATTTTCACAACTGTTTTTTCTGTAAACTTCTGAATACTTTTTCCTTGACTGGGTTTGAATGTAATACCAAAGGAAAAAGAGCAATAACTAACTCTAGACTTATCCTCTTAATCTGCAGATTTAATTTTATAAATGAGCAACATAAAGTGCTACCGACATACATTAAAGAAATACCACCTGCTGCTAACTGCTTTAATGGAAAATCTGTCTAGCGCTTTCTTTAATGATTATATGTCTTAAAAATTCAACAAATGAAAGGATTATCACCAAAATCATATTAATCTGAAAAGGATTAACAGCCTACTGTTGAAAGACTTCATGAACTGCAGTAGGAGAGGAAGGATCTGAAATAAAAATGCAAAGAGCTTTTCACATAAATAGTGCAAAAAGACTGTTAAAGGTTGAAGCAGCAAAAGTGAAAATGGACTGTAATGAAGAACGGGGATGTGAATCAAACACATCAGTGGTGAAAATAAAAGAGAATCACAGAAAACATTCTGTAAGCTCTAACGTCCTTAACACCTGTATATGCATTTTTCTTTGCAGGTTTCTGTGACTGGCTGCACTCTCATTATCATTGGTAATTTTGGACTAATTCAGATACATTATTTTAAATGTCTTGTTTAAAGAATGAAAATTTTATTGAGCATTCTGAACTTAATGAAATGCTGAGAATGAACCTTTGGCTTCCTATGGATACAGATCTTTTGAGGGTTAGAAAGACCTCCCACAGTCTGCAAAATACTTTATCTTCAACAATACACAGTTTAGCTTCTAGAATTTCAACACACAAAAAGAGTGTTTTATTTTTTTCTGTAATACCTTCCCTGCCTGTAGGACATTAATGGATTCATGGCCAGGCATTTCTTGTTATTTAATGGCCAACAGAGTTCATTTCATCAAGCCTCATTCAGTAGTTATCCATATTCATGAAAACACTTAAGGATGTGTTTGATTTTAGCTTTAGTAGGATTTAAGGATATGTTTAAAGCTTGGCACATACTTAAAATGCTATGCTGAATTTGGATGGAGGCAATCTCATGCTTACCTGAGCTAAAGTTAAAATTAAGCAATGCTTAAGTATTTTGCTGAATACAGATGGAGTGCTGAACTGCGTCCCAGTGATTACTCATAAGTGTCAGTATGTTCTCAATCCAGAAATTATCACTTTACAAATAAAATCTGAAGATATGCATATACATAATCAATGTATGGCTGAGTAGAATTTTGATGACCAGCTAATTACAATTCATGCAGACATAAATTAATAAGAAGATGAAACACTGCTTGAACTCAAACATACATCCCAAATTATTAACTTGGGTTGCACACAGAGGATAAAAATAGGAAAGTAAAACAAAATGGAAGCATAAGGACAAGCCATAATGACAAGCACAACGACAGCTTTTGCTTCCAGTTGAAGACACCTAGCTAAACCTCAATGGGACCAGTGTAGTTGGTCTCAGGGCCTTATACTAAAACTTGCCTGGTTTCCTAAGGCTGGAATTATGTTAAGGGGAGGTTAATATGAACATCAAACAAACAAAAGCCAGAATCAAGATTCTGAGGTTTTGCAGTTGAATGACATTGAGAATCTAAGGGTTCTACTTGGAAATGGTCTAAATATATGACTGCAACCAACTTATGCTTTCTAATTCTTCTGTCAGTTTTCAATATTAATTGACAAAAGAAAACCATTGGAAAATAAGTTTGAAAACAACTACTTCAGTTTCATATGTATCTCATATGCCTCCTTTCTGACTTAGCATTTGATGCAGGGCTTTACTTTTAGTTGGCTTGGAAGAACACTGTAGTCTGGAAAGACAGAGAAAAAGACCTTGTGAATTAGATAAGTAAAATCTTAGCTCATGACTGCCATATATTTCAAGAACTCTACATATATTTTGAAAGGTTCCAAACTTAGACAGGACCAAAAAGTTCAGAGAAATAAATCTACCTAATCAGTAACCACAAATGCTGGGGATGAATATAGCAATGCTTTGCTTTAAACTTCAGTGTACAGGTTCAAAAAAGGGAAATATTGCTTTCCCATTTCCATCTTCTCAATGACTACTCTCTGTCTTGCTACCAATAATTCTAACAGATGAGGGTTTTGCTGTGATGTATTTTTCATCTAGCTACATTTTAAGAAGGACACATCATCTATTTTTAAAAAATGGGTAAAAAAATCCCAACAAAATAATCCAATATATAATTGAAGCATGTCCTTTTCATTTTAATTCCTGTGTTCCCAAAATACAGCTCTAAACTGAGCATCTTAAAAAATGGATATCTGATATCCTGATCCATTACATCTGTTACCATTGATGGATGGTAAAATGGTATTCAAGATCTGTTATCATTAAATGTTCTCCTACCTGATTATTGCCATCTTATCTAGCCTGTTTTATGATAGAAACTATCCCACACCTCTCACAATTCCATACACTGCCCCATAGATTTCTTTGTTTTTTAGGACAGCATGACTGGCACATTGTATTTTGCCACTAACTTGTGACTGTTGCATGGCCACACCACCTAGAAGAATACAGACACAGTGATGTTTTCTGTTCAGACCAAATTCTTTTCCTTTCCATACCCAACCTCCTAGTGTGTTCTGTATTCCTTAGGGTTAGAGGTTTCATACAATTAAATGGCAATTTTAAGCTTGTGCCTGTGTGAAAATGCCAAAATCAGGGCTCATTCAGGTGTGCATATATAGAGCGGTTCTCTCCACCAAACATTTTCATTCCTTTTCAAATTACCAGCATGTTTTGATGAACAAATCTTGTTTTAAAATGTCATATGTGGTACATGCTAGACTAATGTAGGCAACTACCTTACAACTACAACTAAACCATTCTTTCAGGCATTCAATTTAGCAAGTTCACCCGCTGAGTCTGAACTCTAGAGGCTAATTATAATTTTTTTAATCAAATAATGCAGGTTTTAAAGCCTGCAAATTCAGTGCCCTGGCATGTATTGCAGGTTTCAAGCAGGGATGCATGTGTTGCTCAACAGTTAAACATTTTTCTTATGAAGGCAAGCATGCAATTCAAGCAACTGCTATTGCAAATAGAAAACCTGTCTCTCCAAAACCTTGTATATTTTAGGATCACCAGGTGCCACTGTTATCTGGTGGGAGAGCTAAAATGCATGCAGATGCTCAGGAATAGCCCTATTTAGTACCTCATTTTATAGGTGTATAATTCTTGGGTCCTTTATTTAATAAATTCTGTGTCACCACTGAGTAATCCTGCCCAATTTAGTTGGCTTTTATATTAGTTAGCTATATATTGGGTTTTGCATCTGGTTGTAATCTAGGGACTGGAGTTCTGATGTTGTTCCTCCCAGAACTAGAGTGGCTAAAGCCTATCATTTTATCAACCCCATTCATCTACTTGGAAACCCTGTCAGCCATGTAAGGTATATGATGGAGGATTATCTACATTTTAGTTCATGTAGTCTAAAGACAAGACAATGACTAGTAAAGTCACCCTCCATAATTTAATATGAAGATGAAAATATGCTTTTTGTGCAATTAAGATGTGACTAGTCATTTAATGAAGAGTCTGGATGTTAACACCAGCTGTCTGAGGGAAAAAAACACGAGAGAAGAGCGGACATAGAGGTGCAGTAGGCAGAGCATCTGCATAAAAACCTCAAGAGCCATTCTCCAAAAATTTCTTTCTGGGCAAAGATCCAGCACTACAGTAAGTGACTTTTCCATGTCTGGGCTTAAATGTATGAATTCAGGAAAGGATAGACACATGAAGTAACAGAGAGAGTTACTGAGTATTTTAGCAATTCACCTGAAATTTCCCAAATGCTATGAAGACATTGTCTGAGTCAGTCTTATATCCTTCAGCTGTGCATATCAGTATGATTCTGGTTATGAGCTGATAATAGAAACTAAAATCTTGCTATGCAGTGATCAGCATGGGCCAGATCTCTGAAGATCATTCATGACTCAAGTTTCAAACACATAAAAATGTTAGTCATTTCAAAAACTATCATTTTGAGATGACAAACCATTGATCAACAGATTGCCATACATGACTTAATACAGCTGAGTGAAAACTAATTTTCACCTTACTTTCTTAAGTATTCTTTCTTTATTTAAATACAATATGTTGCACCTTGCTTTTCAAAATTTGACCATGTAACTTGAAGTATGTCCCCCTTTAAAAATAAGGAAAGTCCTATCATCAACCCCTGAGAAGTGGGAGTTGAGAAATACATGCAAAGGTTCTTTACAACTTGCACTGCCAGGTGAACAGATACTCTGCTGTAGCAAAGGAGTCAAATGGCTTTATCTTCTCAGAATCTTCCATGTAAAACAGTGCAGCAAAGCATGTGTTTACCCTGGAATTGGCTGCTCCAACTTTACACCAGGATGAGCCACTTGCCAATTGAGTTCAGTCTCCTGCCTCCCACTTGCAAAAGGAGTTTAATTGGCTCTAACAGCAATCTGCACACTGATAAAGGTGTTGAGAGAAACCAAAAAAAACACAACAAACTAATGAACAAACAAAAACCAGCAATAAACACATCTAGTTGAAGACCTCACAAAGCGTATTTCTTCCACAGTGTTCTATTTCTGCTGGCCTACCACCAATTCAGTGTGTAGAGACTCTTCAAATAGCCATTCCTCCCTCTATATTTCCAGTTTTTATCCCTGGCCATCCAAAAGTTCTCAATTCCTTCCCTTTGCTTCCCAAACCATCTTTTAAGTCTCCAGTATGTGTTCCAATGGATTGGATATGCTTTTCATATCCAAGGCCACCTCCCCCTTTCAAATTCCCAGCTTAATTATGCTGGAGACAAGGGTGGCCTACAATAAAGACCTTGCTTCCACTTCACAAGCCACCTGTTATCTTCCTTGCCAACCTGCCAACTCCTCTGCTGTTTCCTAGTCCTGCTGCTCGCCAGCCCACTGTGCCATCTGCACAGCAGGAATTCAGAGATAAACTTACCAAGTGTTAGAAGTCTTAGCTTTGTCTCCAAGCCAGTGCTGCTTTGTGAGCAGAATAATTATTCTGGAATAAAAGTAAGTTTCATTTAAGTATAATGTCTGCATGGAAAACGACTCAAGAACTAGGTATAGCAAACTGATTTATTCTATTCTAGCTCTGCTATTTTGCTTCCTCTTTTCTACAGGGCCCGAGACTACTTTAAATTTTCCTAATCACACAAGCTGTATATGGATATAACAATTACATTAACCTACAAAAAAGAATTAGAAAATTCCCCAAAGTGGAATTTAAAAATTTACAGTGACTTCAGAGAGTAATATTTGAAACATTTCTGAAACTGAGGAGAAGCTGAAATGCAGAAATCTGATTACTCAGAAGACTATTAAATGGTTTCAGAAGACTTCTTTCCCAAAGGTCATTAAAAACAAAACAAAACAAAAAAACCCAAACCACACAAAAAGAAAAAAAAAAGCTTCCAACCAGAGCCCAAAAACTGGACTGTTATATGATGAACTGGAAGAGGGAAAAAAGTTCCATCTATTATGGTTAGTGGCACTTTGCCACAGAAACTAAGGTCCTTAGTTTGTGTGGCAAAGTGCCACTGGACCATTATTAGTCCCAGTGTCCCATAATGCTGGATATGGCCTGAATACATAAAGTATAGAACAATTACCATCCCAGAATATTCACGAAGATCATGAGAAACAGAAGCACAGAAGTCAGACAGATAAAATAATACAAGAAAACCCTGAAGTGGATTCAATTTACATGACACAAAGCTGTCACAGTACACCTGGAACTTAATGCTTGTTTCTTTAGATCATAGAGTCTGGAAAAGATTAACCTTAAGAATGAGCATAAAGTGCATTAAAGAGGATGGTCTGGACCATCTACAAAGTGTTTCTCCCAAGTCTACAAGGCAGCACAGGAAAAAAATCACCTGCAATTCCATGCTGGAATATTGAAACTGTCATCATTCATCAATGGGAAGAATAGAAGTTGATAATTCTATTGTGAATCAGAGATTATAGAGGGAAAAATATTTCATATTTTGTTCACTTCAGATTATTGTGGTATTCTGTCTAAACTGGTGAATTTGAACTATGCAAGCACTTTGCATGATAAACAGTAGAACTCTTTATCAGCCTTGAATGATGATGCAGAAGTGGGTAATTCACAGCTAGCTTTGAAAGGGCTTTTGATTTAAATAACGATCTCCAGTTTTAGGTCAAGTGTAAAAGCCTACTAAAGTGCAAATCACAAACAACAACACTATCTTATCTCTTAAAACACCACAGATATATTCTATCTCATCCCAAAGAAAATAAATCAATAATTCAAAATAATGGTATTCTGGCAATGGAACACCTTGCCTATAACATATTCCTCCTGTCTTTTGGGGAAAGATTTTATGAAGAATATTTTAAAGTTTAATTAACCATTTTCATGTTTTTGTTTCTCCTAATTTTACAGGGAATATATCAAAGTCATTCTGAAACAAAAATACCCCTTGTGTGCAGATGCAAGGAAAGCTACAGGCATCTTCTGAGCACGCTCACTGTTTTATCCAAGTTACATTATCTCTGTTACCTTTTCTCATTAAATAAAGTGAAATCAGACATGGAAATACTCAGCAAGATTATTTTCTTTCACATGAAACATCCAGTGACAAAGATGTCTTTGTGAATGCCATGCTTTTTACTTCCCACTTCTTGTCTGCATTTTAATCCAGGTTACCTATTCTTCTTAGAAGTTCAGACTTTATTTTTGGCTTTAATAACATAAAAATGCCATGATGCAAGCACAAATGTTGTGTAACTTACCTACCATGGAACATGGGTACTGTAAATAGCTGAATTAGAGTTGAAAATAATTAAAAGAATGTGCACTGGTTCAGTTGTGCAAACAACGTAACTGCAGTGGCAACACAGGCTCATCATCAAAGCCTGATCAGAGCAGGTATTTAACTACAAAAAAAAAAAAAAAAAAAAGAGTACAGCCATGTCTCTGGACAGTGTGTATTTTACAGACTCGCTCATAATTTCGCATGGAACTTCAAGATTTTGAAGTTCAGCTTTGGTTTGCTGCAGAACAAAACCAAGGGATTCTACAATTGTGGAACTGAAATGGAATAAAGTGCCTTGAATGGATAAGCAAAGAGATTTCAACCTCACTTTTTCAATACCCTAAACAACATTCCCCTGCATGCTTGGTTTCCTGAGAGGGTTTGAATTTCTGTTTTTCTCCTCTAGTCCCTACAGCAGATACTCTCCTAGGCCTGATAAATTATTTTTGACAAAAATGTCATTGAAATTCATTTCAGGGGGAGGGGGGAATACATTTCAGCTGTAGAGCTTCAGGATTTGCCTAAAGTCAGCATCTATTTCTCAGTCATTTGTTTCCTGTTGAGGAAGTGGTGGCTTATATTTGCTAAAAACACTTTTCAAGAAGTACAGCACCGTAAAGTCAGTGCATCCTGTCCTGATGAAATTGTTTGCAGTGCCACAGAAGACACTCCAACTCCTGAAATTCCATAAACTCATCTTTCTCAGCTATGTCTGCCCATGACACTTTGCTCCTTCCATAGAAGTAGCATTGCATGCCTATCTCACATTAATACCAAGAAAAATTAAAAATCAAGAAACTCTTTTAAGGTCAGGCATTTTGATGCCAGATTAGAAATAATACATCTTAAAGAAATACAAAAAGAAGTTTTGGCTTAGACTTAATGATCAGGTGCCTCTCTAGGCAAGAGAGGCTTAACCTAATTTATCTAGGCTCCCTAGGACTTCGACTGTCAAAGCTTAACAAAGTTAGACATTTACTTTTTGAGAACAAAAAAAAATTTAAACAGAAAACAAAATTTGCAATTTTTTCGTGCAAACCTTTCAGTCTTCACAAGTGTTTTCAATCAGGCTAAAATAAGTTTACCATTATTTTATTAAATAATAGGATTTATGCAGCTCTAAGGTCAAACAGAAAACTTTTAGCAGGTGAATTACCTCCCCCAGCTGCTTTCTACTTTAAATTACTCTTAAAATTTAATCTTACCTCAAAATTTATAATACAGTTTCTAAACCTTTTGTAGAGAATGTGTAAAGTTTGTTAAATTTTTTCTATTGTTTTCTGATATTTACCTCATTTTAACTTTGAATTTGAGAATTTGTAATCTCTGCCCTGTCCAATATTTTTCGTAAAAAATTCTTAAAATTGCTATAAAAGTAGGAAAATACATAATTTATCCAAATTATTTCACATCCTTTATTTGAACTCTTCTGATTCTCTCCCCCATCCCAGCATGGGGAATGAGCAAGCTGCTGGCTGGAGTTAAACCACAGCACTGAGCCATTGGTGCCTGTTTAAATGTCCTTTATTAGCAGCTCAGCCAGTACTCTTTTTTTGCAGCTTATTCCAAGTAAATTTTGTCAAGGCCTTGGACTGTAAACAGACCACCCTGCTGCTGCCATGTGCTTTTGGAATGCTGTGACCCAGACTGCACAATATTTCTGAAGAGGATGCATTGGTTATTTATTAAGAAGTTTCATTAATTCTTTCTGCATTGCTGTATTATACTCTCTCTTTTCTGTTCACAATATTTATATTTAATAGCACATGAGACCTCAGTCTTCTACCCAAAAAAAAAATCTGTCAAATATTTACTAATATTAAAAGATTAAAAGTGCTAGGGAAAAATGACCATGTAAAGAATTCTGTGATAAAATGCTTAAGGCTCAGGCCATGCTCATCAATTTTCCTACTCTCAGATGCCTTCTTCAACCTCTGCCAGTGTAGGATTTTGCTTCATTGACTGCTAGATTCAACATTCTCTCTAATGTAATATAATGGTAATTCCTGCAGGGAACTGATGAGAGTCTCATGGCTGCTAGCAGGAGAGATGAGCTCCCTAACCATGAAGTTACTTAGGACCAAACTGCTTCCTAGAATATATTGGGGAAAAATGAACAAACAAACAAAGCACACCACAGAAAATTCTGCTCTGTATTTCATAGAGCAGTCACACCATACCATTAGGAATCATGGAGATAAATAGTATTAAGCCTCTACATGTGTGAAAGAATAGGATTTAAAGATATTTCTGTCTATTGCACTTTTAAATTTGTTTGATTAAGCACATTTCTGTTTAGTGGGAGGGATTGTATAACTTCTAACTCTGTGAATGCCTAACTCATGGGATCCACTGAAAAATTCACTTACTCGAGTCACTTGTAAAAACCTTGAACATTTCAGACGTAATTCAGAATGTTGGCTGTTGCCGGTATAGCTATTAATCCCTCCTCTAAAATGAGAAATCGTATGTGAAAAATATGTGAGATACTCAGGTATGAAACATAAAACAGTAGCAATCTACTGATCAAAAGTAAATATCTTAATGTAGAGACATTCAGAATTCTCAGTATACAGGGCTCTCTGCTCCAATTGCATATTCCCACAGCTTGGCCAGAAGCCTTTCCACTATACACAACACTGCTTACCTTGCAGACAGAGAAGTTAATAAATGCCAGAAATATCAAATATAGATTGATGGGGGAAAAAAATGTTTATAAACCTTTGAAATTCCAGGGGCCAGTGAATCAGAATCAAATTTTAAAAATAACCAAATTAATTCTTAATACTTTTCCAAGTTTTCTGATTCTTATTGGACTTTGTAAGTCCCAAATTAAGTTCCCTTCTGAACTGCCATTGTGTTCCATTTCTACATCAAGCTTTTTCATCTAGCTTTTTCCCATCTGCAGGGTCAGCCTGGTGTGCTTTTAAACTTTTACAGGCAAAGGCTGTTGCAGGAATCCCTCAAAGATACATCTACATTATCTGATAAATCAGTGAGAAAAGCCAGAGTTTAAACCAAGCTTGTCACAGAAGCCTCTTTACCAGTTATCATTGAAGTCCAAAAAACTAATGCATTGAGGGAAGAGAAGCTGATGAAGATTCACAGCTAGCTAATGGCTTTTTTTAAACAGGGCATTCATTTTAATCTATAGTATTTAAAAGCAATTATTAGCTAGAATATAGAAATAGCAACTCATAGTTTATTTGTACATTTA